CCAGCTGTGGAGGGGTGAAATGATAAATTCCCGGACCTGAAGCTCAGCTGAAACACTTTGAAGATCATATAGTTATGTGTGATCGATGAATGGATGAAGCTGGTGGGGAAGGGAGAGGGAAGGCAGGGTGATACGGCAGGACATCAGAAAGCAGCACTGTTAGCATGTAGTCACAGATGGAATAAATTCAGAAAGTGATTTCTAAACCAGGCAGGGATGAGAAATAGCACCCAGAAACGGTAAGGCAGAAAAGGGTCGGTGCTCCATGGAAGTCAGCAGAGCTATGTTGGAGGAAAGATTTCAAAATACAACCCCAATGCAGACAATTTTCCCCAGGTTGGTGGGGATGCTATTGGCATATTCATTAAAAGAGAAAACATGATTAAAAATAAAAATTGCAGGTAGGAGCTTACGGGCTAATTAAAAGAAAAAAGAGATGAAACTAAGATTAGGGTTCACCATTTAAAATAAAATTGTGCCCTCAGCCCTACCTTCTTCTCAACCATCATTTTCTCCAGATAGCAAACGCTTTCATTAATATAAAATCAGTGCTTTGCACTTCCACAGACACTGCCAAATGCCTGTTCAACGGTGGCTAGGCTTGCAGCACGCTGAAACTGCTCAACCCAAGAATTTGCCACCTCCTTTCAATAAGGATTCTTGACCCCTCTCATGGGCCTTTCAGGTGGTTTTGGGCCAAAGCAAAAGCTGTAGGCAGTTGGAAAAGGGTATGTGATTAAGTGACCTCATCCACAGCACCTCCCCTCCCTCCAGCTCTCCATGGGGCTCAGTTTCTGCTCCCTGATCCAGCGCAACGTGGACACGAGCAAGGTGCAGCAGCAGCCTGCGTGCAGGGCACTCGCCGCACCAACCCTCTGCTCGAGACGCCATATGTACAGAAAATAAAAGCAAACTACCTGCTCCGTCCACATGACTTCACTGTCCATCTTCACATTTGCAAACGCTTAGCTCTCGCGTCAGGCTAGTCTGAGGTTAGCAGCCATCTAAAGAGTCAGACTGTGACAGCTCAGTTGTCCCTACGGCAGGCATGGAAGTGGCGGCTCTAAGCAACACAAATCTGATTACAGTTGGAAGGGGTTTCTTTCACTTAACTGCGCTTCTTATCGAGAAAACAAGATCAAGGAGGTGGTATTCGTCTTTAGCATTTATTTATCATTGGAAAAAAAAAACCCTTTGAGCAAGCAAAGATCACAAGCACGTCACAATCAATTGGCTATACATTAATTTGTGTGTGTGTGTGTTTGTGTGTGTGTGTCATTCTCATTAGAACAGCAAGAATGAAAAAGCACCACGAGGAGGTGTGCTTAACACATTACAAGAGACAATTTGTGATATGCAACCAAACCCAGGCCACAAAATATTAATTAGACACTTCCTATCTGCCTCCAAGAGGCAAGAGTTTGTGGAATTCATGGGAGCCATGTTTTTACACTAGACGCGTTGCAAATGAAGAAGCAGGTGATCGGTGTGCAAAGCAGTCAGAAGACAGGAGCTCAGTCAGCAATTAGCACCATTTTGCAGAAAGGAGTAACAGTACAATACAGTGAAAATGAGAAAGCAAGCAATAGACAGCATAGGAACTTTCACAGGGTAAAAAGCAAAACATTTCTCTTTTTTTTACAAGGAAAGCAAAACATATTACAAATTAGCGGTGAAACAGAATCAGCATTGTGGTAGCTGGAAACACAGAACAGCAGAGCACTCTTTCCCAGTGGGATCGACAAGCTCAGAGTCCAAAGTGAACTTGAAACAGCAGAGATTTGGTCTCCTTTCTGATAAACCTGAGTGAGTCGGATGGGCATAAAGTCTGTGGAAGGTAGAGCAATGCAGGATTTCACCCTGAGGCCTGACTCTGCTGCACTTCCTGGCATTCAATGTAATGCTAAACTGTGTGCTTGGATGCTGAGGACCTGGTGCACATGGAGCAAAGGGCAGGATTTATCTCCCTATTTTCTTGCTGTCTGAGAGGGAGGTCCCCAGGCCCTACCAGTCTTCCAGGTTCTTTCTGCAAAGATTGAAACCTTCCAAGGATCATTCATCCCACCCAAAGAGAGGTGTCCAAAATAGGTAGTTCAATGGCCCTTGGAAAGTTCCTTCACTAGAGAGGGAATTTAGACCACTGGCTAGCACATCATACCTAGCTTTGTAGTTATGTGCCACCAAAAACTTCATGTATTAAGGAAACATAAGGCCAAATTCTGACCACTCACTGTGCATGTTTCATTCAAACACCGTGATGGATGCTCTTCATTGAGAAGAAGCAACCCTGAAGCCCTAGATGATGAGCAGTTGTTCCAGAGTCACGGAGATGCTTCGATTAGGTGGTCTGAGCATCTTAATGATGTTCCTTGGGCAAAATTTGGTTACCCTTTAAGTCAAGGGCTAAATTCCCATTGAATTCAAGGTGAAATGGTGGCAGGTGTGCTGTCTCTTTGAATGTGAAGCTTTGGGCCAAAAAATAATTGGAAGAATCGTTTGGCATGGTCTTTCCTTATGTACAGTGAGATTGGTGTGTTGGACTATTGGTAACTGTCTACGTGCCTTCCTGACATGTCCTGCCTGCTGTGACCCATCATCTTCACGGCTGTTGCTATATCCCATGATAGGAAAGGACATTACTGAGGAGTGTGAAGATAGATGAGGCATCTAAATGCCAAGGAATCACACCAAGTCTTGGAAGCTCAGGCTTCTCTGGCCAGTTGTCCCTTGGGCGACGGGGTGGGAAGAGCTGTGAGCGGCACTCCTCTCCACCAGCTCAATGCAAGCCTTTCGCTGAGCTGCTCTGGAGACAGAGCTGAGCTCTGCACTCAAGCGGTGCTGCAGGGGCTTCTGAGCACTCAGAAAAGCAATGGTCAATATGGACAGGTCAGCGTCTCCATGGAGCATGCACATCAAAAAATGCACCACATTCGCAAAGATTTCCACAGTTTTACTTCCTGGAGGATTTCCCTGGTTTCCTCCTAAACATTGGAGGTTTAAATATATATATTTCTATATATGAATATATATTTTCCACATACACAACCTGACTAGCTCATAGCACACAGTTCTAACACAGCTAAGCTTGGAAATACACCACTGAATTCAGAACACTACACTTATACTCAAAGCTTTAGGCTGTTAGCGCAAGGCAAACAGGACACATCACACAATACACTGAACTTGGCATTTATTCATTACTAAGGCCAGCAAATGTCACTATCTGTATACCGCAGAGCTTTCCTCCTCTTTGGAAACTTTCTCTCAGCCTTGTAGCCCACCAGTCATTTATGTTTCCAAAAGACCCAATTCTGATGGGGTGAGACCCCAGATATGGGTCTCCTCACTCTCCTGGCCCATCCCTTTTTCTGTTAGATAGTTTCACATTTCTAAAATATCCTAGCAGCAAGACTTGCCTCATTCAAACACCTCTACAGCAACACAGATCTGATACTCTCCTCTTACACCGCCTCTCTACCCTACTTCCCATCTCTCTCTTCGTTCTTCCCAATTGTCTGTTCTCTGAAAGTTTCAAGCTGGACTGTGCATTAGGATAGAAATATTGAGCTGCAAAAATAAAGACGAACCGTGCATCTTGACTTGCAGCTACTCTGCTACTGGAGAGTTTAACAGCTCGGTTTGGTGGGATCAAGATTAATCCTTGCATATTTAGGACCCAATCCAGGAGCTAGGCACGCAAATTTGGATTGGGACTGTACCTCTCCCAGCTCCCATTGACTCAATGGCCCAAATTTTGGGGTATGCAATGCCAGTCTGTTGGGCTAGTTCATACTCGCTGACCAATGGTCCCACTGTTTCTACAGCTTCCAAGCTGGTCTTGCTGGGCATGGGGATTTCATAGAGTAAGAGCACAATAAATAGGATTGAAACCCTGAGATCTTGCCTGGAGGGAGTCTGGGGATCCCAGCAACTGGTTTACGGCCCTCTTAGGATGCTTACGAGCCAACATGAACTCCAACAGCTGGTAGAATCAAAACAATGGGGGCTGACAGCTCTAGCCAACCTTGGTGACTTCTTTCTTTCTACCCCTTGGAAGGCCACGTCTGCAAACTAAACCTCTTTCTGAAACCTAGCTCTGTCTACTGGCACCCCAGAAGTGAAGAAAGCAGACCAAGATTCAAAACAAACCAGGAATAACAAAAAAGATCCATAACCTAGGGAAAACAATAGGGAAGAACAGCCTGCTGATAACCTAGTCTGACCTGCCACATGCTTGGGAAGTCTTCACTGCTCTCTGCGCCTTCCCTCACTCTTTTTTTTTTTTTAAATCAAGTCTTTTGAGTGGTGTTAATGGGTGAAGCTGCCTTGATGCAGCTAGAACTAACCCCCAGCTACCATGGGGGAAGAACAGGCCCTTTATTTGCATGGGATCTCTGTCCCTGTTGCTTCTTGGAGCAAAAGTCCCACTGGTGTCACCAGGGGAATTTGCTCTTGGCCACACCGATTCTAGCGGATTTATGGCCAATCCATGGCACCACAAATGAACCTCTGATCCTCTCTGCCTCCAAAACCTTTCACCTGCTGACACCAGTGGGAGATGACCAAACAACGGCCAACCTCAAAAGGGCCTCATGGGATGACAGCACAGCCTCCATGGCTCGACGGGCACTTCCGTGCCGTCAACATGTTGAAGGACCAAGCCTGAGGAAAGGGACAGGCTGTTGGATGCAATCACGGTTGATCCATCATCTTCATCTCCTACGACCCCACTTGTGCATTCCCACATCCCTCACTCTGTGCAGAGCCGTGTTGTGCAGGCAAAGCAGAACAACCTGACCTCAGAAACAAGGATTCCCTAATCCTCCTTGGAAATAAAACAGAAAAGCTTCTAATAGAATCAGAACAAAAAGCAGATTAGAAGCCTCTAATTAATTTTGTGGCCTTTATTTAATCAAAGGAAAAAGAAAGGAAAGAAAGAAAGAAAGGAAAGAAAGAAAAGGAAAAAAAAGAGAAAGAAAGGAAAGTGCAGTGACATTTACTCTTTTGCCTCAGCCAGTTTATTGTTCATCTCTTTACTTTTCTCCTTGTCCTCTGGCTTTGCTGTGTTGGAGGTCTCGGCGCTCTTTTTCTTGGCAGCCCGGCCAGATGCAATCTGCTTGTCTTTGGCCTTTTTCAGGGGTTTATGGCTTGTTGTGGTCTTTTTTGGTTTGGAAGGCTTTACGCTAGGCTTTTCCACCTGCATGGAGGGCGACATGCAAAACGACAACATAGAGATGGAGAGAGAGAGAGAGAAAGAGAGACACAAGGACAGGTAGGAAACAGGATTTAGATCAGAAACAGCATGAATGTTACTTATGTACTCAGCTACACCCTGCCCTCCAACTTCAAGAGGGGTTTTGCAAGCCCAGAGGGGATTGTCTCTCCCTGGATTTGAAGCAGAGAAATGATGCTCAGGACAATGAGGCTGGTACAAATCCCCACGACTCTTCCAGGACATGACTCCTCAGTGTGCTTGTCCCTAACAGATTGATACAATACATTGTTTGTGGTAGCTGGGGCATAGGACACCGAGTTGCACCTGAGCAAAGTCCACAACACCGTCTTGCATCCACTTGTTTCTACAGCCCCCAAAGTAGGGAGGACACTTTCAAAATTAAGGAGGAACAGAAGCCTTCAGCTCCTCCATGCTGGCCCTGACATCCCTCTGACACCTCACAAATCTAAGCACTTACAAACTCTGGGAAAGACTAAAACTGCACAGACTGACTCCATTTATATGCAGATCCTCCACTGCTACTAGAAAACAAGGCTGGAAGACATTTCAGCCCAGACCCTTCTCGAGACATGTCCTCCATCTAATCAAAGCCAAAAATGCTTACTGTCAAAATCTGTGAAGCACTCTGAATTAATTGCAGATGAAGAACTGGCTCTTACCATGTCGTTCCTGGGATAAAGTGTGATGTGGGGTGCCTATAGTTTTGGAGGGAGAAAGAGAAAGCTGCCTAGATAATCACCTGGGAAATGACAACACAAAAACCTCTTCAGTTGGGCCCTACCCTCACTTCTTTACAGCTTGATGTAGGGCAGTATTCTCTCCAAAGTACATCAACCTGTACTAGAGCCCATAAAATCACGGAATGGTTTGGGTTGGAAGGGACCTTAAAGATCATCTAGCCCACCCCCCCTGCAGTGAGCAGGGACAGCTTTAACCAGATTAGATTGCTCAAAGCCCTGTCCAACCTGGCCTTGAACACTGGAGGGGGCATCCACAACTTCTCTGGGCAACCTGTGCCAGTGCCTCACCACCCTCACAGTAAAGAATTTCTTCCTAATATCTAATCTAAATCTACAATCTACCCTCTTTCAGTTTAAAACTGTTACCCCTCACCCTATCCCTCCACTCCCTGATGAGCCACTCTCCGTCTTTCCTGTAGGCCCCACTTAAGTACTGGAAGGCTGCTATAAGGTCTTCCTGGAGCCTTTTCCTCTAGGCTGAACAACCCCAACTCCCCCAGCCTGGCCTCGGAGCAGAGGGGCTCCAGCCCTCGGATCATTTTGGTGGCCTCCTCTGGCCCCGCTCCAACAGCTCCGTGTCCTCCTTGTGCTGAGGGCCCCAGAGCTGGGCGCAGGGCTGCAGGTGGGGTCTGCCCAGAGCGGAGCAGAGGGGCAGAATCCCCTCCCTCGCCCTGCTGGCCACGCTGCTGGGGATGCAGGCCAGGGGGGGGTTGGCTTGCTGGGCTGCCAGCGCACATTGCCGGTTCATGTCCAGCTTTTCATCCACCACCACCTCCAAGGTGGATCCCCAGAAGCACCCGCTGGCTGGAAATGAAGACGCTGCACAGGGGAATGACAGCAGGCAGCGTTCAGCCCAGCCTTACTGTGTTGGACATGTCCCACCAGGAGCAGTGACGGCCCTGGGTCCCTTCTGCCGCATTTCTCACCTTTGGCGGTTCTTTGTAGGGTTCGCTGTAGAGAGTGCGTATCCTTCTGCGCTCCAGGAATTTATTATCAGCTGGAGCAGGCTTACTGGTTTCCCCCTTGAACTGAGCGCTGTAACTGGTTTCATGGGTCATTTTCTCCTCTGGTGGTTTGTACTGGGCCTTCGCTTTTATAGCTTTCACAGGTTTGACATCTACCCAGGGTCTGAACTCGTTTCTGAAGATCAAAAAAGAAAGTGGTTCAGGAATTAAACCAACAGGAAAGTAGTGGTAATGTGGGAATGAAAGCCCTCATTGCTCAGCAAAGTCTACTTGGAAGGGTTTTTGCCTCCATCCACTCAGGTTTACAAAGAAACTGACTCCCAACAGCTCATTTTTGACCTCATCTAAAACCCACTGACACATTTAGAAGTTCAAATGAAATTTGGCCTGTTAAAATCAGGCAATCATGGGCACTAGACAGCTTGCTACTTGTGTGACAATGGTCGGGTGCTCTCCAAACAGCTGACCTCAGATGTGACTGTGATCCTTTTTTTGAAAACATAGATACTTTTTTGTTTCTACAGCTTCATCTCTGCACTGAAGCTACCTGCCAGCAGTTCCTGACTCTTGCAGTAAGGGTGGAAAAGAATATTTAGAAAGGAACATCAAAATTCATGTTCTGCAACTCAACACAGGACACACACTTCTCAGCAAACTTCCCTGCAGGCAAGCTAGCTGGGTGATTCAGAAATGTAAGGAGCCAAGATTTTCTACAGCCACCCCTTACCCATGCCTGTAAATAGTGAATTGTATCGTTTTGCCTATATTGCACCAAATTATGCACAACAGCTTTTGTTAATTCCATAAAGGAACAGTTTAAGATAAAGCTGTCTTAGATGTAAACTCAAGCAGAGCAGGAAATGCACAGTTTATCAGGTATTGCGAGCTATGGCTTCTCTTTATTAGCTGATGGTGAATTCCTGAGTTACTGGAAAAAATAACACCATCTTTCATTTCTTTTGGACAGAGCTGTGACTTTTTCAGAAAAAAACCAAACACATTTCGAAGATTTTTAGCATCTGCTGGACGCATTCTGGTTCCCATCCACAGTCTCCTTCTCGTGCATTTTTTGTTCTTCCCAATGGAGTACCAACATCTTTCTAGTTTTGAAGCAAACCATTTCATTTTCTCTCTAAAAATTGCCATTCATCTGAGAATGGGGATAGAGAAACCCCAAGTGTGTTGCTAGCCTAGATGGGTCATGCTCAGACATAGTCCCAGGCAGTGTTTAGATCCTTAAGATTCCAGTGCAAGCCAGGAGCTATCCTAACGGTGGTGATACAAGCCCTCTGCAAAGGGGTGAATTTTCCTTGGAAATCAAAGCCCTTGTCTTAATTTTGGGACCTCTGAGGCAATGGGACCTCTAAGTTGCAGAGCCTGTCCCTCCTGCCCTGTTCCGCTCAACCACCTTTGGGTTGTGTTATTCATCTTCAGCCTGGTTTATCAGGGAAATGAACTCTGTGTCACTGGTACTGCCAGTCAATCCCTTCCCATAATAGCTTTGAACATATTAATCAGCTTCAACCAAATTTGACAAATGGTCATGGAGTTATTCAGCTTTTACTTTTATGCAGATAAGCAATTGGACTGAGTCCAGAGGCTCAGGAAAGCTTCAGTATGGACATGCACACTTCATCGGGCATCATGAGGACCCGCTTAGACAGGGAGGCTAGGCTGCAGAAGTTCTTCTGTTGTCCTCAGGGACCAGTAATAAATGATTCCTTCACGTGCAGGATCAGTGCAGCTCCCCGCCCACCCGGTACTGCATTTCCCATTCACATAATCCCACTGCAAAGATGGAAAAAACCTTTCTCTTCCAAGATAACTGCTGGTTGCAACAGTCTCCTGGGTGTGTTCCTCCTCCTAAGACACCTATGTTCAGGTCTCACCACATCTGCAGAGTGACTGTGTCCCTGTGGTAGTCAATGCAGCGGTAGGCCAACACAGTCAGTGGAGCTTGGAGAGCCCTCCCCTATGTCAAAGATGGGTGACTGCTTTAGGGTGAGCTGAATGCCTCTCTGGGCTCTGTTAACTGACTAGATCTCCACTGATGGGAATACAAACACCCAGCACACATGAAGACACTCACACATACACCCCTAAATGTAGGTATCTTAATCGATGAGCCAAATCCCATCTCCAACTCTCCATCCTTTTTTAGTGTTGATTCTACCTCCATCTACTTTTTATTTTCCCTGTATTTCTTCATTTCCCTCCCCCCTCTTTTACTATTCAGCCCTTCTTGGGCTTGGATAATACTGCCAAAGGCCCAGGGAGAAGGATGCTTGAAGAGGTGTTTGAAGGATGCTATTCTTCATGAAACTGTTGCACTGAACGAGCAATACAGGAATGGGCTCATCTGTGTCCCCTTCTTTCCTTTTCAGTGAGCGTCACCCATTTGTCCACAGATATTTCTCTGCAGTCCATTGTTAAAATATCCCTCCTGCACGAAGAGTTGGGAGAAAGGAAGAGGAAACATCTTTAGCAAACTGGATTAAAGATGTGAATACATTACTGACACACTCAAAGTTCAACCCAAGTTCCTCAGAAGATGAGGCTTCTTCCTAGGATCCACTTTTGTTCCAAAGTAGACTATATATTTTCAACTGCTTTCTAAAGCAAATAAAATCATGCACTAATTCTCTCTGCCCATGTCTATGTGTCACTCGGGTTCCTTCCTAGCAACTTCTGAACCTGGTAGCTATTTTCTGTTGTATTTGTGGCAGAGGTAGATATCTCAGAGGTGAAAATCACACCACCTTTCCTCAAAATCAGTGAGTGGGCACAGGAGAAAAATCCAAACAGTGTTCTTCAACTGAGCAAAAGCCTGGTAAAGTTCATTTTCTTACTTATTGTAAGGCCAGCTGGCCAACCAGCCCACATGGACCACCAGGTCAATCAGCAAACCTAAGCGCAGCTTGCGTCTACAGAACCAGAGACAACGGATGGAGGCTGTACTACCGTACACATAGGAGGTGGACTTTAAGACAGAACACAACCAGGATTTATTCATTCTGCTGCTTATAAAATGCTGGTTTATATGGAAGTGAGCTTTGAAGCAGTGTGATCGTATTTGTTACCATAGTGCCTGGCAACCTCATTACGCACCGCATTACGCAAACATACAGAAAGAGATGGGCTGTTCCCTGAAAAGCCTGTGATCTCTGTAGAGAAAGCAGACACACGAGGCAGGGAAAAGGGAGAAAAAAGCCTTGTGCTACCTGTGGGCTGGCAGGGAATGCATTTCTGCACTCCCATGGGCTGGTTCCTGAAATGCTAAAGCAAGAGATCATGCAATAGAGCTGGGCTGTTAATGCGACAACCAATCTCATCTGACTGTTAAAAATGAGCACGAATTCCTCTGCTCTTCTCCATCCTTGCTTTGCTGGTTGTAATACAGATGTAACAATTCTGTGAGTACTCAGCTCCGCTGTACTTGGCGACAGGACCCTTGACTACCCTGCAGCTCCCAAGATGAGCCTGGCTTTGCAGGCAAAGGATAGACCAATAGCCATTCTTAGGTGGATGCATGCTGATGCACTATGTCCACCAGCTCTGAAATAGCTCAGCCACGATCTTCTCCGGAAGTGGAGGATAGAATGCTATTGATCTTGAAATATTTTACAGTGTTGACAAAGAAGTTGTAAATACCAGGTATGTCATACAGATTCAGTGCACATCTAGAAATAACAGATTGCCCAGAGAGGTGGTAGATGCCCCCCCCCCCCACCCCTGGAAAAATTCCAACTCGGGTTGGCATCCCTGGAAACATTCAAGGTCAGGTTGGACAGGGCTGTGAGCAACCTGATCTAGTGGAAGATGTCCCTGCCCATGGCAGGGGGGTTGGACTAGATGACCTTTAAACGTCCCTTCCCACCCAAACCATTCTATGATTCTATGATTCTACTCTAAATCCTTTTCAGGCAATTGAGCATGATTTCACATCACCAGCTATTACACTAGAGCTGGTCCCTTCAAGCATGTGAGAGAGCATGGCCCACGTTTGTATGGAGTCCTACCACACATGGGATGAATCAGCTTCTCCCTGCTGTGACCATGCTCGAGCACCCAGTGTGCCCAATTCTGCATATTTGCTATCCAGAGCTTGCAGAGCAGTGGAAGGAGGAGAGAAACTCAGACCATTTACTACAGCTACGTCTGGTGCAGCAAGCTGATCTCAGTGCCTATTTTTGATATTCAGGCAACACATAAACTGCAAAAAAGCGTTACTAGAACAGACACAGGCTATTCTGTGCTGGTTGCATCAGTGCCAGAAATGCAGCTTACCATGGTTAATTAGCACAAAAGTACTAATCCCTAAATCAGTTCGTCTCCACTACAGATGAGTGAGGGAAAAGAGCCCGCTGGGAACTGCCCTTGGAATATGCCAGCTCCTGAACCCAGCCCAACAATTGCTTAGAAAAGTACTAGTTACCCTGAGCCAAAAATGTAGGCAGGAGTGTGCTAGCAACTTCACAGCCTGGATCACCACATTTGAGTGCCAGGCACATCAAATTTAGTAATGCAAAAGTACGAACGAGGAGACAGGTGCCCTACTTGGGGTCTGTATCTCTGTTGATTGTAGGGATGGGGGAACACCTCAGGAAGTTGACCTAAATCCCCTTTCTAGGTCTGGTGACTCTCCATCAAATGTCTGTCTGATACAGTCCTATGTCACCATGAGCTCATGTTGTCCAAACAGTGCACGGCATGGGTACAACCTCTTAGGGCAGTTGCACTGTGCTCTCTAGAACTGGCCTGATGCTCCAGGATATTTACATCACTCAGAGATGCTGTCTTATAAATTTATACACTCCTTATATGCAGCAAAGAAGCGAGACGAAAAGCAGCAGCTTTAAGACTTAATTTTTTTTTTTGGCATTCTGGGACTAGGTAAAATATCTGTTCTCTAAGGTATCATATCAGTTGCTCCTCTAATACTAAAACTAACACTGGCTTGCAGAAAGCCCCTTCAGTTCTGAGACCTCCCTCTTCATTCTGAGACCTCCCTCATTACTACTTAACATCCCAAGGCCAATTTGTGGAGAAGGTGCCCAAAAGTTACAAATTCCAGCTGCAATCTGAAATGAGCCCTGAAAATGTTATTCTTCCCCTGTTTTGAGAACAACAGGTCATGGTGTCTGGACCACTGCAGACTGCTCTGCACAAAATTAGCTCTGAAAGTATTTCAGGAGCGTGTTAGATCCCATCCTAAAAGAGCTCAGCCTCAAGGCTCACCTAAAACCTGAGCAAAAACCTTTGCTCACGCTGCAAGGATGAGTTATGATCATGGACTAGCACCAGTAAGGACATACCCAACAGGCACAGCTTAGTCCAGCTCTATAATTCTTCATCTAAGGGAATTTCATTGCTCTTCATTTTGCTGAGGAAGATTTTAAGAATTGCTATCTTGGCATGAAATGGAGGGGTTGACCTGAAATAGCAGCAAATTACACGTCTCCTAATTTTCTGCCTAGCTCTGGTCCCAGCCTTACAAAGAATAATTAGAATCAATCGGGAAACCAGTGCTGACCTGAAATGGAAATCGAAATGAAACTCAGCAAAAAGGAGTATATGAGGCATGAGATGACCTTTTGCAAGCCAAGTCCAACAGGAAAAATTCCCAGTGAAGATAAAGGGAGTTTAGCCATCTACAGACCTGATGAGAACATAGGGCTGCATAGGATGGGGCAGACGTTTTGCAAATTAATAGGTAGCAGATCTTTTTATAAGATGACAGTGGCCTGGAGAGGTGGTGGCCTGATCTATATCCATTAAAGCCAAGAGTTGCTCTCCACATATATCAGTGGATACCACGCTGCTCGTGCATGGGGCTTCATCCACCCTGGTTATTTTATTTTAATTGCATTTTCCCCTTGGCTGAGGATTGCTAAAGATGGCCGCAGGTGAAGGTGACCTCAACATCTTCCTCCACCCCAGCCAGGGGGCATGGAGTTGACGTGAGCTCCAAGCTATGGCATGCAGCTGTCTCTGGAGATGCTCACCAACACTCATGTAGGTATTAATTGCCTTCATCTATTGATGCCAGAGCAAAGCCAAGAGGGGGAAGGAAGGGAAGATGGGGACAGGTTTAACCACTTCAAAGCTTCCACCTACTTTAAAGGACTTTAAAGAGGTTATATTTGTTAAATGTATTCTGCTGACAGCAGTTTTACCAGCACTGAGCCAGCCCAATTCCCTCATCCTGATGGGCATATATGAAATAATGAATAGTGCAGAAAAGGGAGACCAGGAACTTCATGGTGGAGTCCTGCACAGAAGGGATATTTCTAGTTTAATTTGAAAAACTATGGCTCAACCAAAAATGAAAAATATTCAGATTTTTCACTGGAAAAAAAAAATCCTTTACAAAATGTTTGGCCCAAAATGTTTCATTCATTCTAAAATTAAAATTTAACTTTCTTTTTTAGTTTCTTTAATTCTTTTCCATCCCATTTTTTCCTTATTCTACTCAAGACAAACACGAAAGGACTATGAATCCCCTTATGAAGCAAAACATCAAACTGCTTCACAAGCAATATTTCAGAACATCACATTTCTCCCTCATATTCCTCTAAACAAAACAGCAATGAAAAAAAATACATTTTCCAAACTAAGCAGCCAATTTGTCTGCTATTTTCAAATTATTTTGCCTTTCTGGAATACAGTATCATTTGCTTCCAAATATACTCCAGCTCCCTTTTCCCTGTTAATGCAGGAAAAGAGATGTTCAGTGAAATGCAACAGTGGGAAACTCAAAGTCAATGATAATGCCTGGCTGAACTCTGGAACTCAATGCCAAAGGAGGTCACTGAAGTCCAGCATGTAATGAGATTTAATTAAGTCGTGGCTGTTTACATGGATATTGAGAATATTCAGAGGTATCAAAGGAAATTTCGGCAACACATCCTCAAGATAATCATCAACACCG